GGGCCACCACAACGGCCATAGCATACTCAAGGTGCAAAAACATTTGCATCAAGAAGTTGTTCCGCTAAGTGAGCTAGAGGCTCTAATTGATTGCTCAAAAATTAAGGTATAAAAAATTTACTGTTAATTTTACATAGAAATAGTTTTGCATTTATAGCAGTTTAGATACCGTAGATATTTGATTGATTTAATATTATTTTTTACAAAAAAAAAAAAAAAAAAACTTTTTCGGTATGATTTTATTAAAATTTAGTTGTTACGCCACTTTAAAACTGGTTGAATAATTATTATATCATTATGGATACTTTGAGGATAATCATTTTATTTACATCAAGAAGCATTCTATATATGACCTAATTTTATTCTATTGTAATTTTGTTGCTTCATAACTATCAACGCGTGTTAGTTGTATCATACAATTTTAATCTTATGTCGTGTTTGAATTCATTAATGAAAGCTTTATTGTTGTTTGTGTCATACAAATACAGCCTTACAAAAGTAACAATAATTGGGTTATATTTGTACTTCCTCTACCTCACAACGGCTCCCGTTCACTCAGCGATAAGAGTGGGGTTTGCAAAGTTTGCACACGAAAAATAATTTCTCGGTTTCGGTTTTGCACTCTCCTATGCTAGGTGATATAACATTTTCCTTCATAATATAGAGAAATAAAGTTTCAAAATGTTATATTTATTCGTATAAAAAGTATTCCATAGTTTTAAATTTTGTTATTAAAAAAGAAAATGTATACTATCCTTATTAGGTTAGCATAAAATCCTAACATATTAGGATTTCTACACATGGTTTTTCAAATGATTGTGAATTTTGTGATAAATTTTATATTAAAATATTTTATTTATATATGCGGCTATTACATAAACCATATATAGTTTACTAACAACATACAATTGAACGTTTGCCTAAAATACGGTAACATTTTAACTATAGTCATGTGTAAATTTTTAATTTAATCGATATAAGGGATATGGTTATGATCAAACATGTAAGCATTCTATTTAATGTACTTTGTTCAACTTTTTTTTAACTTTCATATTCAACAGGTTTCCGAAGAGAGAGCAAATTCACATGAACCATACATTTCACAAAGAATAAAAAATGTTGAGGTATCGAAGAACGTTGGAGGTACCAAGCATCGTAGGAAAGGAGTACCTCGGAGAACACCTTTCATTTGATCTAGAAACTCAAAAAAGAATAGATTTTAATAGATACCGTATTCACAAAGTTATGTTTCTTAATATCGAACTTTTGAATGAACTATTGCTTATGATATGAGCAATGATGTATTTGAATATAAGTCGACAATTGTAATGTAAAGTTTGATTTTATTGTTGAGTAGTGAAAAATTATTTGGCTGTAATCTGAGTTATGATGTAATATATATTTAGTTATAAATAAATTTAAAAATATTTTTACTATTTTAGAAACTATACTTCAATAAAGTATATCTAATATATATCATCCAAAAAAAAAATGATGGTAGCGCTTAAAAGAAAGTTCTTCATTGAATGCGGCTATGGAACCGATACTCTAAATATTTCTTTAAGAATATTTTAGCCGGTATGTAATTGTCGTAGATTCTCATTTACTTGTAAAACAAGACATATTGTTAATGTGACTTAAGTGATATATATATATATGTGTGTTTAAATTATATATATGGGGTTTGTTTATTATGCGTTTCTTTTTACTTTTTTTACTATTCAATTTATACGATATTTGTGATGTATAGACATGCATATTATTAGATTTTTCTTTTAATTAAGTAAATTGGAAATTCTTATACTCCCTTTGTCCCATTGGAACGGTGGCATTTTTTTTTTTTTGCACGTAGATTTTTTAATATTAGTATTATATTGGATTGTAGTAAAAAGACAAAAATACCCGTATTAGTATGGTGTAATATAAAAGTAATGGCATTTGTGTAATATATTGTAAGTTTAAAATGTATTTATTATGTTAGGTAGGTAGTACAATTACTAAATTAGGAAATGGTAACTGTGTTTTGGGACGGACGAAAATAAAAAATGATAACCTTTCAATAGGACGGAGGAAGTATATTCATTTCATAAATATCAATGTACAATAAAATTTCAAGTTGTCTTTCCATATAAATTTTTTTGTATTATTGTCAATTTAGCTATGATATATATATATATATATTTGAATCATTGGTCTAGTGTTGTAGTAGTATTTTATTTGATATCCTTTTTACTAAACTATGGATTTATTCACTAGTGTTTTTTGTGACACAATTGGTCATAAATATTAAATAAAAAATATAATATACATATATTAATACAATATACTATATATTTTATATTCACTGAATATCAATAATTTAACATAAAATATTATTATTTTTTTATATTATCGACACAAAGTGACCCTATATTTAAAAACTTGTATTTAATACTCTCTCTATTCGAAAAACTCATATAAGTTTGCTTGAATATAGAGACTATTATATTTTAATAAAAAAAATAATAGCATTTTAATGTTAAAGTGTGATGGATAAAATAGAAATTAATAATAATAAATTAGGGTTTTTATGAAAAAATTATTAAAAATTTGGTAATAATGTGATGGATAAATAAAAAATATAGTAATAAATTAGTTATTATTTATTTAAATATGGATAATAAAATTATAAATTAATAAAATTATTTATTATAAATGAAATAGACATAAATTTAGCAAGACAATTTTCAAAAAGACAAAAAAAGATATTTTTGGACGAGAATGCGAACTCATCATATATATATATATACTCAGAAAATAAATGAACAAAGAATAAAAAATCACAATATGAATAAAGCTTAATAGAACAGAACTTTAATTTAATACCAATACTCCCCTCGTCCAATATATATTTATCAGTTCATCTTTTTCTACGTAAATTTTTAAATATTAATATTTTATATATATATAATCAAAATAGGTGTGAATAGTCAAATTTACAATATTTACTCCTGATAAAGATAAATTTGATAAATAATAATGATAATATTTTATAACAATCAAGATACAAAATATTTTATAAAAAGTCAAAATGTTGATTATAAAAAATCAAAAAGTCATTAAAAAAAATCAAAAAAATCAAATATCCAAATTAAAATAATATATTTTATATTTTTTACACAATTTCTTACACTACTACTCATCAAAAATTATTTCATCCAAAAACACTACGGAGCCAATATATAATATACTCCCTCCGTCCCAGAAGAGGCGTCTAGTGGATATAAAATAGAATGTAAAAGACTAAAATGTCCTCGCTTTTTGAAAAATTTTAAAAAGTAGGTTAGAATAATAATTAGGGATAGTTTGGAAAAGTACGAATAATTTTGTTATAAAGTAGAGACCACGGTTACTAAATAAGAAACCAGGACAATTGTTTTGAGACAGACAAAAATAGAAAAACAAGACAACTCTTTTGGGACGAAGGGAGTAAAACATAATTACTAAAAAATTAAATCGAACATATGGGTTTTGGATGGACCAAAATAGCAAAATTGATTAATTAATAATAATAATCATAATCATAATAAATGTTTGAAAAAAAAAAAAAAAAAAAAAACAATTCAATAAAAGGATAATCAAAAGGATAAAAAAAGGATTAAAAAAAAAAAAAAAGGGGAAAGTAATTGTCTTGGAAAACTAAAGGCAATGGATAGCCAACGGTTTACAAACAAACCAATGGGCTCATCTGCAAACTGCAACTACCATTCGGGACCGATTTGTAAAATAATACTATTATATTCTAATTTAAGAATATTCTACGCTATTTAAATTAAATATATATATATATATATGATAAAAGTTTGTTTATTAGTGTCTCCAATTGCTTATTTTTATTGTTTAATTATTTTTTATAAAAATATTATATTTACTATTTATCTTTATTTAACAATTTTTCATAATTATTATTACAAAACTACAATATATATAATGTATAATATTAATATATAATATAAATTAGAGAATATTTTTAATATATAATTGGTTTATATTTTCTAAGAAAATATATCGATATTTTATATTTGGACAAATAAAAATAATAAAATAATTACTTTCCGAAAAAATATAATTTAATATATTTTGTTTATAATTTAAAAAAAAATAAATACAATGCAAAATTCGAAATACAGCATATGCATAATAATCCACTTATGGTCTTAAGCGTATAAAGTGTGCTTGTGACAGTGAAGTCAGACTTTGTCTATACTTCCTTCATTACACCTTTTTGTCGATTAAATTATGTTTGTTTGATTAGACAGATATTAAGAAATAATAATAAAATTTTGGTCGGATATTTAACGAACGATGACACAATTTTGACAAATAATTAATGAGAATGAAAATTAACATCCTTTCAAAAATAATTTTGTACATCTTAATAAATTTTATTTTCCATAAATAGATTCCAATGTCAATTATTCAGAAGGAAAAATTAAAATCCCTTTCCTAAATGATAAATAAATTAAAAAAATTAACGAAAAAATAATTATTAGTTTATCCAAAAAATAAAAAATCTAAAACCTTTATCTATCCACATCCTTATTGGAAACTTAAATACCGAGGTCCCGGGAGTTCATACACCAAAAGCATCTCAACCACTCACTCAACGAAATTGGATCTTCACTCCCGGGACTTCCGCACACATCCACTCAGCGACCACGCGCGGCGTATCGTCAGCGCAAACCCCAGATCAAATCTCAGCCGTCCATCTCACCGGATTCCAGATTCCGACCACCGGTAAAATGGGCCAGATCAAATCTCAAGCACATCAGCCAATTGGATAAAGGCAAATCTTCAGCTCACACACCCCCCGACCCCACCCCACCCCCCAACTGTTGCCTTTTTAGACTGCTTCCAACCTCATTCATAAATCCATTCTTTTCTAATCAAAAAAATTAGGGTTCTTGATTTGGGGGTTTCTATTTGGATTCGTCTGAAAAAAATTGAAACAAAGAACGATAATGTCTTGTATGAATCTGAAGGCCAATTTCTCAGCCAATCGGGTGAAGCCACGTGGACCCCAATCTAGGGTTTGTTCTTCGATCGGAACCCTAGATTTCTCCGATCACCGCGAAATCAAACATTTGAGGATCAAAACCCCCAAATTAGAGCCAATAATCGTACGAATTGAATCACCAGTTCAAATTTACTTTTCCTCAAATCACAATTCCTCAATTTGCCCTAATTTTTTTGTCGGAAATTTTTCAGGATCAGAATTTTCTTACCCCAAACATGGCGGAAATCGAGTCGCCGCGCCACCTCGTGAATCTGCTTCGGACCGCCGGCGACGCTCTGGTTGTCCTAAGCTTCTACTCCGCCGCGTGCGGCGGCTGCAGAGCTCTGCAACCCAAGGCATTATATATATATATGTTCTTACAATGTAATTTGATTGTTTTTCTTACCGGAGAAATGAAATCGATTGTGCGCAGATCTGCGAGATGGCGGCGGCGAATCCGTCGGCGATTTTCGTGAATATTAATGAAGATCGGCAGGGGAAGCTATGTCGTGGCCTCCATGTCCGCGTGCTGCCATTCTTCAAATTGTACAGAGGATCTCAGGGGAGACTCTGTAGCTTCAGCTGTACAAATGCTACAGTAAGTTTGCTCAAATTATTCTAAGTTTAAAACATGTTTAAAAAAATTTAATAATATCCATTAATATTAATAATAATTTTTTTAATTATAGAGCTCCCTCCGTCGCTCGACTTTTTTTTTTTTTTTTTTTTTTTTTTTTATTCATGATGAGCAAAATATTCGAAATTTAAATATTTGATTCAAATCAAATCGAAATTTAAAATTTAGTTAAGATTTTCTGGATATTCGCATTGGTTCGGGTTAAATTTTTGACAAATTTTGAATTTTTAAATCGGATCGGATCGGTATACTTAAAATCCGAATCAATCCGAAATCCGAAATATAACATTTGATATATTTTTTGTTATATATATTTAATATTTTATTAAAAAATATTATATTCTAATATAAAAAAAAACTTAAAATTATTAATTATATTTTAATATATTTAATTTTTATATATTATACATATTTAATATTATAAAATAATAATAAAATATAATTTAATAATTGTACTATCTACCTAACATAATAAATATTATTCAAACTCACAATATATTATATAAATGTCATTACTTTTATATTATACCATACTAATATGGACATGTTTATTTTTTTTACTACAATTCAATATAATACAAATATTAAAAAATTTATGTGCAAAAAGTAATCGTCACCCTTCCAATGGAATGGAGGGAGTATTAGTTGTAAGTTAACTATAAAGTAATAAATATATTTTTTTTATTTATTTGTATTATATAGAATTTTATTATCTACTAAATAATAATACTATCTTATTTTCTATGACTTTTTATTGGTCTTAGTTATTATAATTTTAGCTATTTTATTTTATTTTATTTTATTCTTATGTTTGGTTAAAATGGTTTAAAATTTTATATTTAAAGGATAAAAAAAAGGGAAAGGCTTGACATGTAAATAAAAACTTTATGATATTTTAAAATAAAAATAATAATATATTCTCTAGATAATAAAATATTTTTTTAAATAAAATTAAAATTAAAATTATTTGGTTCGATACATAACATATTTATTTTTTTATAGATCGGTAAATTTAAGGATGCATTGGCTAAACATGGGACGGATCGATGCAGCCTCGGACCGGCAAAAGGTCTTGACGACGAAGAGATGGCTTCATTGGCCTCGCTCGATTTGATACCGGAAAATTATATTCTATCGAATTATTATTCTTTTTAATAATAATAATAATAAAAATAATAATGATAATTATTATTATCATTATTATTTTTATTATTATTATTATTATTAAAAAGAAATTGTATGTGTAATTATATATTTATTTTTTAAGAAGTAGGGCTCCGACTATTTTGGGAAGGCCCTGCAATTTGTTTATTTATGTTTAGTTGAATTTTAGTTTCAATTTCTTGATTATAAAATTCTTATAACTTTATATTAAAGTAAATTATGTATTCCAGGAAATATAGATAGACTATTGGTTGATTTTCGTATTCTTTTAAATTTAAATTTTTAAATGAACTAATAATTTAATATCGTAGTATTATTCGTTGCCTGGGAAATTATAAGATACTTTATCAATTTTGTGAGTTCATACTTACCAAATAAAAAAGATATTACCTCAGTCAACTCACAAAGTGAACATATTTTAATTTTGATTTGTTCAATTAAATATTTCAAAAATTTATCATCACATCGTTACTTTTACGTCAAAAAACAATAACAAAGTATCTATTTTTTCATTTTAGTCCGTCTTATAGCAAAGTATTCATTTTTTTTAGTAACTGTACTATTTACCTAACATTACAAATATCCTTACAACTTACAATATATTACACAAATGTCATTACATTTATATCACACTACTAATAAGGTTATTTTAGTCATTTCCATTTTATTCCTATTACATCCCAATATAATATTAATATTTCTAAAACTACGTGCAAAAAACAAATGGATATCTAACTATGAGACGGAAGGAATATTATTTTTAAGTAAATGAAGAATTAAAAAGCTAAATTGTACAAAATTTACCTATTGTTTTATAAAATTACTTCAAATTCTTCGTACTTTTAAAATTGTGTCAAACTCCTTCGTGATTTTATAAGCTATACGTCCAACCCCCTCGGCCGTCCTATCTAACGATATTTGATCTACTTGCATCTAAACTGCAAATGAATTTCAAAATCTCTATTTTTAAACTTAAAAAATTACAAATATATTCAAACCTCGTATTTAGATTCAACATAACAATAATAATAAAATAATAATAATAATAATAGAAAACAACTATGTCTGAGTATAATTTACTGCACATTGAGGTTAAATTATAAATAACGAGTATATTTATAATTATTGTTTAAAAAAAAATGAAATTTTTTTGCAGTTTGAGTTCATGCATATAAAAAATTATTAAATAAAAATATGAGACAAAGTTTATAAAACTAGAAAGAAATCTAATTCAATTTTAAAAATATAAAAAATTTAGCACAATTTCATAAAATTAAATGTAAAATTTGTGCAATTTTACCAGATTAAAATAGAAAAGACAAATATAGAAAACATTAAAAACACACACGATTATAAATAGTAACAACAATAATGGATGGTTAAAAAGGGAAATGATTTCCTAACTTTGCACATCATCGTATGCGGTGGAGCTGACGAGGATGTCATCTCCACTTGCCCCACAATAATAAATTAATAATAATAATTTTTAATTATTATTTCTAATTTAAAACGTTTAAAATTTTTTAATTCAATTCACATTCTCCTCCGTTCCATATCTATATATCTATTTATTTTTTTGTGCCGAATTTTATAAATATTAGTATTATATTAAAATAAAAATAAAAATAAAGGTAAAAAAACTAAATTAACCCTATTAGTATTGTATGATATAAAGATAATCGCATTTGTGTAATATATTGTAAATTTAAAGAGTATTTGTAATATTAAATATATGGTATAATTACTATAAGAAAAAATAGATACTTTGTTATAGGACGAACTAAAATAAAAAAATGGATAGATTGTTGATGGACGGAAGGAGCATATGTTATTTAAAATTTTTATCAATATTTATTAATAGTAATTTTTATGAAAATAGCAAATAAATAGTTCTTCCGTCATGTAATAAGAATATCATTCGTTTTCTGTACGTAAATTTTTTTATTATTAGTATTATATTACTCCTTCATTCCCAATACAATAATCTTGTTAACCATTTTTATCTGTCTCAAAATAATAGTCTTATTTTCATAAATAACTCTATAACTCTGTAAAACTACTTCTATTTTTTCATTTTTATTACACAATTGCCATTATTTTTTATATTAATACACTCACAAGAACAAAAAAATTTTTATCCATACTTTTTACCAACTACGAATATAATAATAATATTTTTTGAATCTCGTGTCCAACCCAATTAAAACTATATTTATGGGACGAAGGGAGTGATTTTTAGTAAAACTGACAAAAATAATATTTGTATAATATATTATAAATTATAAATATATTTATTATATTAGATAAGTAGTATTATTATTAAATTAGTAAACAATCCTCTTGTTTTGCCATAGACAAAATTGAAAAATAGTATCATTTCTTATGGTACCAGAGTAAGTATTTTTATTTTTTTTTAATAAAACACAACAAATGCTCAATATTTTACTATTTAACAAATTTTACAAAATATTTCTTCCATGATTCCATCCCAATTCAATATATTATTTTTATTATTTTTTATCTCACTTAAATGTGATTTTTGTAAATTTAAAAAATATAATTTGAAAAAATTATAAAAATTAAATAGTATAAATAACGATAAATATATATATATATATATATATACACACAACAACATTCATTTCAAACAAACGACAAAAATAAAAACATGTATATTTATCTGTTGTCAATTCTTTATACCGAACACACCCTAATAGTAAGTTTATGCCTAGAAAAAAAAAATCACCAATTTTCTCACACAAAATATTGGCAAAATTAGAATCGTAAAAAAAGAACCGGTAACACAATCATATGAATACGATTATATATGACAAGAAAGCATCGTAAACCAATGTATACTCCCTTTTATACTCCCTCCGTCCATAACAATATGATAGAAACATTTTTGTTCTTTTTTACTATAAACCAATGTATACTAATATTCAAAAATCTACGTATATAAAGTAAACATTTCTCTTCTTTCGGACGGAAGTAGCAGAAAATTTGACGCCAACCTTAACTCTTTTTCAAAACCTATCATATCAAATATCTATTCTTTTGTAATCTTTTCAAAAACATATCGAATATCTATCAACTCATAAAAACATAACATCGAATACTCAAATTTTGTATTATTCTTAAATTTTTTAAAAACTCTAAAACTTAAAACATCTATCAAAGCCTTAAACCTATAATCACTGAATATTTAGCTTAAGAGTGTTCTTTTGTGCCTTGGAAGTTACATTGGTACTATGCAATCCATCGGACAAAATATATATTTCCGTCCAAAACCCATTTTCATTCAATAATCACATTCAACAAAAAAAATCAAATATAAAAACAATCCGCAACAAATAAACAACAAAGTAAGCGTAGAACATACAATTTGTTCAAGGGATCAGCTAAATTAGGCTTACTTAAGCTCCATAAAATCACATTTCGGAAATCAACAAACCAAAATCAATTGCTAGGCATGATTCGTCCCACAATTTTTTTCTTTAATACCGAGATAAAATTATCTTTCCGTAAAATACAAAAAGAATATACAAAATGTAGAACCTAATGATTCGCCCTCAATGTTTAGCTTGATCGCCAAGTTAGGCTTGTTCAAGTTAATCGAGATTGCTCAAACTACTTTAGGTTCAAGCTAAACATAGCACACAACATTTAAAGAACAAATTCAAATCATAAACGAACCAAAATAAATTATGAAAAAATTGAGTCAAACCAATTTGGTAATAAATAAATCTTTCCCTGTATGTCTCAACAATCGAAGCTCCAAATTAAGAGAACCAAATCAAGAATGGCATTGAATCATAAACAAACCAATTTAATATATTTAAAACTTGGATCGAATCGAATCAATGTGGGAATAGATCAAGCTTTCCCCGTATGTCTCAAAATTCAAAGCAACAAAATTTTGGATCAAATTAAACGAACCAAATCAAAGAACAGACTTGAATCATTAATAAACCAACTTAACAAATCAAAAACTTGGATCAGATCGAAATCAATTTGGCAGTAGATCAACCTTTCCCAATACGTCTCAACAATCGAAGCAACAAAAGTTAGGATCAAATTAAACAAACAAAATTAAAATATGAAAAACTTGTATAAAAAATATTAATTTTGGAATAGATCGAATCTTTCCAAGCAACAAATGCATCAGAGAGATTCCCATTAGACTAAGTCATCTTTCTCCAATAAAAGATCTGATGTCCCTGTCTGTTTCCTCATCATTTGCACAATCAAAATCACACAAACACAATCACGAAGCAACAAATCGAAACTAAAGCTAAGAACATGTGTAAGAACAAGAAATTAAAAAAAGAAAATCGATCTAGTGCTAAGAAGCACAAATGCATCAGAGATTCTGATTTCCAAATTTATAATTATATCATCAATCTCCACAAGGAGTGCGGAATATATCACGAATCATCATCTGCGCACAAGCTAAATCCCAAAAAACACAATAAAGTTCATACACGGATCGCAGTAAAGAAATGTCTTGAACATCAAAGAATTTAGGAGAGAATGAAAAAGGGATAAACTTAATCGCAAACAAAAACAGGTTTATAGAGATTAACGAAGCCTTACCTGTAAAAGCTTGAGGATTGTCCGCAAGATCGCGCTTTATAGCGCCACGAGATTAGGGCTTTGGTGAGAGGAGATTCGGCGGCTTGTTAGGCTAGGGTTTTGTGAGTTCAGGATTTGGAAATGTATATTTTGCAATGCAGTCCCTGAAGATTGTTGAAATTCCATATTTTTGGATTACCAACTTTGTAAATATTGAAGGTGTATTCATTTAATAAAAATGATAATTTTCAAAAATTACATTTTGAAAAAAATTTAATATATTTTATATATATATAATTTTTATATTATTTATCCAATTTTCTAGAGTTAAATAAAATAATATTTTTTCATATTATTTCACTAAACATGAGTATTAGTATAATACTATCATGAGTGTTTATTCATATTTTATTAGTTGTTTATTATTTTAAATTTTAATTATATTTTGTGTTAAGAATAAAAAGATAATATTTGGTATCAAATTATTAATATTTTGATTTTTATATTATATATATACATTCTATATCATTTAAATTTATGTTTTTTTTTATCATAAAACTAATATTTCATATGTCTTTTAACAAATTATTTATTTTTGTATGTTAGTCTGTACGATAATAATATATTTATTTTATTTTTGAGTAATTGTACTATTTATCTAATATAAAAAATAACTTTAACTTTTACTCAAATTACGCACATACTATTATATCAATAGTTAGAAATCGCATGCGTTTTACGTTCATATCATATGCAATATTCGGTTGATTTTGATAGGATTTTACCTAATTTCTATGTATATTGTTGATTTCCGACATGAATGAAAGAAAAGACAAATTTGGTGAATTTGGAGAAAAATAAAAGAAAAAAAATAAGCATCATTAGTCATGGCCACGACTAACTATACCCTTCTAACATGAGAATTTAATTAAACGCTCAAAAGCCCAGCTACAAAATAATTAGGGCAAAAATTAAATAAAAGGGGGTGTAGTCACACGCAAAAAAAAAATGGAGAACGGCCAGAGCAGATACGCACATGAGCAGAAGACTGGCAGACTCATTAATCGTGCAGGAGCAAATCGACATAGAAGATTTTCAATCCCACTATGACTTTATCTTTCTATATTGTTCTTTGTTATTTGATTATGGAGTAAATACTTTTATGGTTTAGGGATGATAATGTTTTGGTTCTTATGTTTTAGAGATTCCTGATATTCTTTATAAAAGTTCTTTTTATTATTAATATTTGTTTAATCCTGAAAATAATGATTGTGATTTTTAGATTGATTGGATATTTTGGTACCGATATTTAAATTGGTCTGATAATCTAAAGTCAATTCAAGTAGGATATCCGTAATTTTATTCGCACTTGAATAGGTGACAATCGGGTTGAATAGTTCCTTCCCGGGGTTAGACAATCAAACATAATTGCTCCTCTTAGGTAGTAACTGTTTTGAATTGAGTTTTTCTATATTAGAATGCGATTAGGCAATATTACTTATGGGCGCACCTAGGTTTATTAGCTTAATTAGGGGTAGTTAATAGGCGTACCTTAATTACCTACACTGTAAGGAAAAATTGGTTGTCAAAACTTGTTGATAACTATAACCAATTTACTGATACTTTAATAAGAACATTTTTATTGAATCAATGATAAAACACAAGTACCATAATTGCATCATCCCTTGAGCCAGACATCCCATTGATAGCTTGTTCTCCGTTAATTTAATTATTTTGTTATTTTGTCTTCATTAGATAATAAAAGAAAATTCCCCCACTCCTTTATTTACTGCATTAGAACGCGAAAGAGTGAATCACGCAATCCCTGTGGAGACGATCTATTCCCTTATATTATATTAAATTGTGATCACGGAATAGGTGAATTATTTGATTGACCGCGCGACAGGTCAATGTTTGGCACCATTGCCGGGGATTGACGCTTTGTTTTACTCTTTTGTGCTATTTTAATTTATCCTCATGTTTATGCCCCGTTCTTCTCGTACAGGTGAACTAATATTTAATCTTGAGATCGAGAAAGTTGAGCGAAAGGAAGTCAAACAACAAAAAGCTGCTCAAGTTGCAAAGCTGGCAGAATCTTTAAACTACCTTAGAATCTTTAGCTCTAGCGACTCTAAAAGTGATCAAGAGACTATCATGGCTGAGGATACCCGCACTCTAAGAGAGTTGGCTGCTCCCAACTTGGCGCAACAGCCTTTATGCATTAACTTTCCAACTCTGAATAACACTATTACTTTTGAACTAAAATATGGTTTAATTTATTTACTATTTTTTTTTCATGGACTTGCAGGTGAAGAACCTCACAAACACTTGCAAGAGTTCGACATCGTGTGCTCCAGCATGAAACAATCGGGTGTTACTAACGAACAAATCAAACTCAGAGCCTTTCCATTCTCGCTCAAAGATGCTGCAAATGATTGGATCTACTATCTCCCACCTGGAAGCATTGACACGTGGAATGACATGAAGAAGAAATTTTTGGAGAAGTACTTTCCAACTTCCAGAGCTGCGATTCTAAGAAAGGAAATATGTGGCATCAAACAACAATCAAGTGAAACGCTCCATGAATATTGTGATCAATTTAATAAGCTTATCATTAAATGTCCACAACATCAAATTCCCCCTCAATTGTTGATTCAATATTTTTTATGATGGTTTGTCATTTATGGACAGAAACATCATCGATGTCGCAAGTGGTGGAGCTCTAGTGGATAAGACGCAAGCACAAGCTTGGGATCTTATTGCGAAAATGGCTGAAAACACGCAGCAATTTGACTCGAGGGATGTTGGACACACGAGTGGAAACATTAACGACCATTCTATCCAATCGATGCAGCAACAACTTTCTGAGTTGACGAACTTTGTTCGTAAGATAGTCGTGGAAAAATCTAACTCGAGTGTCCAAGTCAAAGCGTGTGGAATATGCATAAGTGCAGGACACCCTACGGATGCATGTCCGACCCTCCAAGAAGGCTATACAGTGTATGTAAATGCTGCAAATTATGGTATAAATGGACCTCTAGTGTACAACCCGTACTCCAACACCTACAATCCAGGCTGGAGAGATCATCCGAACTTGCGCTATGGAAATGCACAGTAGAGTAATGCTCCTCAACCATTCGGAGCTATGCAGCATATTCAACAACGTCGTTTCTATGAGAAACAGCCGCCCCAAGCACCCACAAGCAATTCCAGTCCGTCTTTGGAAGATTTGGTGAAGTCTATGGCTATCACTACCCTGCAGTTCCAACAAGAGACGAAAAGTTCCTACAAGAAATGAGATTGACAAATTACAAGGTCAGATCAATCAAGTGTCAGATGAGGTAAGACAACTACGTGAAAGGAGAAAGTGGCCCGCTCAGCCTGAGCCAAATCCAACAAATGTCAGCGCCATCACTATCTGCATTGACACGATGATTGAATATCCTTCCCGACCTAGTGGGAAGCAAATGGATGGTCCAACTCCCATCTCAAATGAGCAAAACGAAGAAGAAATTGAAAATGAGATTGGAAAGAAAACTGAGATCCACGAAAAGGTACATCATAATTCTGTTCTTCCTATTGAAACTAAATCGGCTCCTTTTCTTGACAGGTTGAAAAAACCACAAAAGACAAATAAGCGAAAAGAGATGATAGAGATATTCAAGAAGGTGGAACTTAATGTCCCGCTCCTAGAAGCTATCAACCAAATCCCCAAATATGCAAATTTTTTGAAAGAATTGTGCACCAACAAGAGAAATTTGCGAGGGGATGAGTACATTATAGCGGGTGAGAACGTTTCTGCTGTTCTCAAAAGAAAGGTACCACCTAAAACAGATGATTTAGGTATGTTTTCTATCCCTTGTAAGATCGGAAAAACTGAGATAACCAAGGCTATGCTAGATCTATGACCTGCTATTAATGTCATGACACGATCAATATACGACTCCTTAAATCTAGGGTCTCTAAAAAAATAGGAATTATTATTCAACTTGCTGATCGAACCAATGTTTATCATGATGGTATGATAGAAGATGTATTAGTTCAAGTGAATGACTTAATTTTTCCTGTTGATTTTTATATTTTGGATATGCATGATGCACATTGCTTTAATCCACCGTCTTTTTTGTTAGGAAGACCTTTTATGTGCACTGCATGAGTAAAGATGGATGTTAAAAAGGGCACACTCACCTTGGAGTTTGATAAGAAGAATTTCATTTCAATATTTTTAATCCCATCAATTGTCATGTTGAATCTGGATCGTTATATGCAATTACTATTATTAATTATGTGGTGTAGAAAACAGATGAAGTTGGTAACGAGAATAAACGAACAATTATTTTGACAAAACAGTTAGAGAAAAGACCAACTGGAGATAGTAAGAGAAGAAAAAAGATTGTTGAAAAATTGAGATGGATTCCCAAGGGATCACCATTGTTGGCCGCGAAAAAGTGCCATGAGGAGAATTAAAATTTTAAGCCGAAAAAAAGTGTGTGGCCAATAGACATCGCTTCAAATCATACCACGAGGGACCCTCACTTGATCCTATAAAGTCGGCACATGTTGCCGATTTTAATGTTCAGAATTGATGCGAGACGAAGTCTAACTTAAAACTATAAAGAAAAGCGCTTTTTGGGAGACAACCAAAATCATTTAATTGCTTTAAATAATTTTATTTATTTTTATTGTTTAATTGCAAATAACGATTTTGATGGTTTTGCACGGTTTGGTGTAGGTCTTTTGGAAAATAATTGCTGGTTTTTTACGAAGACGCGATCGACTTTTCCTTAAAAAAAAAAAATCAGATCAAAAGGTGACTTTTAGTCATGGTCATGACTAATTGACACCCCGCATGCTGTTTTTTTCACCCAACCTTTCTTACCCAACCAATTTCCAGAATAAGATATAGTATTTACTATTTAGTCATGACCAAAATAACCTTGACTTTTATTAAAATTACATGCATACTATTATATTACTTTATACGTAAAATCAAAGTGCAAAAATATAAAAAAACTTAGACATTTCCACTGACTAATTGACTACAAAACCCCAAAAGGCCGTTTGATTTGAACATGAGGGAATACACAAATGTAATTATCTTTATATCATACATCACTAATAACATTAAATTTATTTTTTTAACTTTATTCCTATTAGATACCACTATAATACTAATAAACATAAAATTAAGTGTAAAAAATATTTTGATAGTTCTTTAAGGAAAGGAAAGAATATGATCATTTAAAAAGAATATATCATTTTTTTTTCTATATTATCATTTAAAAAAATATATCATTTTTTTTCTATATCATTTAATAATTGTAATTACAATTATTACAAATTTTAATACTCGCTCCGTCCCACGGATGTCTGGGTCACTGTAGACACAAAAATTTAGGATAAATATAATTAGTAAATAATTTAAAAAATATTAGTAAAAATAATTATTTTAAAATATAAATAATTATAAATTAAAATTAAAATTAAAATATCTAATTAGTTTAATTAAATTAAAAAAATAAATTAAAAATTTTAAAATAAAATTAAAATGTATAAGAGAGAGTAAAAAATTGTGTTTAACTATTTAATTATAAATTTAAACAAGGTGGGAAGTATTCTCTCACTATCGTATAAGATGACCTTGTAGTTAAAGATACGGTATTTAAGTAGTATAATTTAATAAGTTAATTATAATAGTTATATTATTATTATTATTATTATTATTATTATTATTATTATATATAAATTGTGTTATTATTATTTTTAAAATTAAAAATTATATATGATCAAAAAAATTTAAAATTATATTTTCACAAAAATATATACTCCATCCGTCTCAACTTAAAGTATTCTTTTTACCATTTTCGTCTGTCACACTCGGAAGTATTCATTTCTTATTTTAAAAAAAAATAATCATATACTAATATCATAATACCCTTTAATTTTTATTTAGATTACAAATATATCATTACATATACAATTACTTTACACAAAAAGTTAAAGAGTAAAAATGTCAAAATCTCTTACACACTTCTAATAACGAATAAAATATTATTATTTTTTAATTTACTACAAAACCCCAAATAGCCAATTTCGTTTAGGACAGAGAGAATATAATATACTCCATCTGTTCCAATATAATAGTCTCAATTCCATAAATAACTATATCACCATAAAACTATTCTTACTTTTTCATTATTATTACACAATTGTCACTACTTTTTGCACTAATATATTCATAAGGGTAAAAAAAAAAAAAGTTATTTATTGATATTTTTTACCAACAATCAATATAATATCAATATTTTTAAAATTTATGTCCAACACAATAAATCTATACTTTTGAAATGAAGAATTATATTATTTTATAAAGATAAAATTTTATATAATACATTTATATAAAAATATATATATTTATTTATAATTCATATAAACTAATTAAGATTTAACTCCTCTGCACTGGAATATTTTTTTAATAGAACTGAAAAAAAATAAAATATTCCAGATACGCAAAAATACAAATAGGGTACCATTATTGCCACGTGGCAATAGTAGAGGGGCCCACATGATCTAAGAAAGCCCAACGTCATAAGAGAAACAGATTTTGCGGATATCTGAAAGGATAAAGACGATAAGATCCCCAGATTCCCTTCAATCTCAGCCCTCCATTTCCAAATATCTCCCAAACCAACGGCCCAGATCCACCCTCGAATCACCACCACAAATCCGCCATAGACGACGAATACAAAATTGCAACAACCCTCAAAACCAATCATCTTCTATTCACCCCCCAAATTCCACCACCACCGCCGCCGCCGCCGGAAAACATGGCCGCCACCGCCGCAGTCGCCGCCGCTCAGTCCCCCGTCGCCGCATTCCGGCCACGGTTCCTTACAGGCTCCGCCGCCGCCGGAAAACTCAACCGGTCAGTCTCGGTCAGACAGGCCGCAGCTCCGTCGCAGTTCAAAGTGGAGGCCAAGAAAGGCGAATGGCTGCCCGGACTGCCCAGCCCCGCCTACCTCGACGGCAGGTAAATATAATAATTTAATAATATAATATGTATATAAAAATATTAAATATTAAAATTTGATATATTTTGAATTTTCAGCAAAAAAAAAAAAAAAAGTTGTCAAATAAATCTATCTTTTTTTTCTTTTTTTTTTTTTGTATTTTTTCCATTTATAAATATTTAAATTTCGTAACTGTAGAATTTAATTAAATACGGCCTCTCTCGTCCCACATTGGAATAAGAATTTAAGATAAATATAATTAGTAGATAATTAAGAATATATTAGTGAAAATAGTTAACCTATAATATAAATTATTATAAATTAAAATTAAAATAACTAATTAGTTTAATTAAAATTAAAAAAAATAAATTAAAAAATTTAAAATATGTAATTATTTTCCAAAAAAAAGAAAATAAATATGAGAATCAATGTAAAAGAATATAAATTAGTATGTTGTGTGCATTATTAGCATTTTAAATAAAAATCAATACTATTTAGTCGTAAATACATTTTTTTCATCTCATAAAATGTAAATTAAAATTTTATTAAAATTAAAATTTAAATAAAAAATTTAATTACAAATCAAAATCAAACAAACTTACGTGTATTTGGCTTTGATTTGTATATGATTCAAATAATATTTTGATTTGATATTTTGTGAAAGTATGTAGTATATTTTTGTTGAAATAATATATTCAAACAGTAATTTGAATGTGATGTTATTTCCAAAAAAAAAAAATTATATTATTTTCAGCTATTACTAAATTTCTTATTTTTCATTTTAGTATGTTTAATCAAAATATATATATATTTTTAAAAAGTAACTCTTAAATACATATCAAAATACTTTTATTTTTTACTTTCACGTTATTTTTCAAGGATAAAATAAATATTATATTACTTTATTACACTTAATATCTATAAAATACTTAATTTTTTTTTTTTTTTTTTAATTCGGGTGCAAAAGTCAAACGAATTTGCATAATGATTTATCTTCAAATTCGATCCAACGCAGCCTACCCGGCGACAACGGGTTCGATCCGTTAGGGCTAGCCGAGGACCCGGAAAATTTAAAATGGTATATTCAGGCGGAGCTCGTGAACGGCCGATGGGCGATGTTGGGAGTCGCCGGAATGTTGCTGCCGGAAGTTTTCACGTCTCTCGGGATCATCAATGTCCCCAAGTGGTACGACGCCGGGAAATCCGAGTACTTTGCGTCGTCGTCGACGCTTTTCGTGGTCGAGTTCATCCTTTTCCACTACGTCGAGATTCGACGGTGGCAGGACATCAAGAACCCGGGTTGCGTAAATCAGGACCCAATTTTTAAGAACTATAGCCTACCGCCGCACGAGTGCGGCTACCCCGGCAGCATTTTTAACCCCCTCAACTTCGAGCCAACGTTGGAGGCGAAGGAGAAGGAGTTGGCTAACGGTACAATTATTTTTAATTTTTTTTTTATCGATATATTTTCGAGGAAAAAGTTTTATGTTTTAATTTAGTGAACGCCTGAGTTATATTTCTATTTTAAAACTTTTGGACATGGATATGCTGCTGATCCGGGGTACTAATTTGATTAGTTCAACATATACTATAGGAGTGACCATCATGTATTTATATATTATTTCAGTATATTTATAATACAAGCACAATATATGCTGAAATATGTATAAACATATACTGGTCACCCATATAATATATACTGATTTGTCCAAATCAGCAACCAAAATTTTTATAAACGATGTTTGATTTTAGGACATCGACTAGTAACTATTAGTTGATGTTCAAATATGAAGATTTTAACTAAATTTTTGTGTTCGAATTTAGGACATCTATTATTTTATAATTTACTTTTTTAAATCAAAATGTTGGAAGTTTTGAACTTTCTTTGAAAATAGTAAACATGTTTGATGTTTTTTTTTTTTAAAAAAAATACTATTAATAAATGGTGTCAAAATTTCAAAACATGTAAATAAATGTATGGATAAAATTACATATTCATGTTTAATTTTAAAATACTACTAATTATTCGAAAATTTCTATCAAAATCAAATGTTTTTTTTTTTAAATGAATGATTAAGTTAAATTCATGTGTTCAATCTTCAATGTCAAAACGCCGAGTACTAGATTTTTTTTAAGAGTAATTAGTGTTGTAAATTCGAATAATTTCATATGGGCCAATTCCAATTGCAATAAAATTCGCTTACGGAAATAAAAAAATATTGTTTTGTCGTCGAATTCTCAGTAGGGTTTTGTGACGATTTTATTTTTTCTTTTTTCTCGACAGGGAGGCTCGCAATGTTGGCATTTCTCGGGTTCGTAGTGCAGCACAACGTGACGGGGAAAGGGCCGTTCGACAACCTGGTTCAGCACGTTTCGGATCCATGGCACAACACCATCATCAATTCGATTCGCGGATATTAATGATGATCTAATCTTATCTGTTCGGATCTTCCCAGGATACATATATATCTATATATTGTAATGATATATATATACACGTATATTGTATGTATGTATGTATTTTGTGTAAGGATGGATGGATAATGTTGTGGTGAATGTGAAGAATTTGGATGGATCGATCAATGGAGGGTTTTGTCTGAGAACTGATATTGAAACTAGGTTAAGGGTTTGTTCCTTAAATTTAAGGTTTGTTTTTCTTATTACATTGTTCAATGTAAAATTATTTTGCGGAAACTAACAAAATAGCATATTGTTCGTAATGAAATAGAGTCCGGCATGAAAGAGATTCGATAGACGACACAATCTAATATTAAAAATCTAATATAAACTATAAATTAAATTACTAAAATGTCTTAACACTCCCTCATATACAAGTGATATCAAAGAAACAAGTTGCCCGGTAAGAAATGACCTAGTGGTATGGGGAGTGAACTTGTGACTTATCCAATGCGCACATTCGGCTGTGGTTCTTACGTTAAAGAAAAAAAAAACAATTTTATTTTCATATCCAGAAATATTGAGATAAATAAATATTGATGCGGTATTTTTTTTTATTATATTTTAACTATTTAATAGTATTATATTTTAAAAAAAATTACTCCTTCTGTCTTAATATAATAGTTTTGTTTGCCATTTTTGTCCGTCCCAAAACAATAGTATTATTTCCATAAATAGTCATATCACCGTAAAACTACTCATGCTTTTTTATTTTTATTACACAATTGCCACTATTTTTTACACTAATACACTCATAAGAAAAAAGTATTTTACCTATATTTTTACCAACTATCAATATAATATCAATATTTCTTAAATCTCGTGTCCGATCCAATTAAAACTATAGTTGTGGGACGGAGGGAGTATGTTATTTCAATCTTACAAAATATCACGGCTAATTTATTATTCAACTATTTAATTTTTGCGATACTTAAAAATCACTAAATTGTATCTAATTTATTAAATAAACAAAAAAGTCGCAAAAAATATTTTTCATGGATTCCCATTCGTTAAAATTCTACTTTGTTTTATTCTTGATCAATCTATCAAAATAGCTATATTTTTTGATAATTTTCACTACAAGAAATTATCAATTTTGTAACGAAGTTTTTTCGTTACTAAATTCATTTTTTCCGTTACTAATGATATTAGAGACGGAATTAGAGATGAAATTACGTTAGCTACGTGAACTTTAGTAACGAAATTCCGTTACAAATGTACTATTTTCTTGTAGTGTTTCAATTGAATAATCCATTTTATCAAACAAAAAAATTAATTCTTATTCTTTACGAATTTTTTTTCTCTATTTGCAATTTCATTGTCTGTACCAAATGCCCATAAATTATTATTAGCATCCGATCTTCTATTATTTACTAAAAAAGATATTAAGTCTACACCATCCAAAATATTTTAGTAAGCCTACAAGCAAACAATGAATTTAGGTGTCACGTTTTGTAAGTACAAATAATGTACTTCATTGCTCGTCTATTAAAATTATGTCATTATTTTATTTTGAGTCATCCGTTAAGCTTACGGACAATTTTATCAACCCATAATTTTATTATTATTATTTTAACAAATAATAATTAATTTACTATTTTTTTTTCTTTTTTTTTTTAATATTTACATCACTATTGTTTTTATCAATCCTCTAATATTTTTTTTTATAATACCCTCTCTTTACATTTTACCCGTCACACATCAAAAATTAATACTACCATTATATCTTAGTCTTCATATATTACTAAACCTACATAATTTTACTGGACGATGATTATTTTTTATTTAAGAAAAAACATTAAAAAAAAACTGCAAGGTTTTCATAATAAATAAAGTAAAACTAAATTGAAGTAACAAGAGTCAATACTTTTTTCAATTCCAAAAAATATTGAATTAAATGTTTTCGGAAATATGACATTTGGGATTAAATTACACTTTGTAGTATGAAAATTAGCTGCAGTTATGCTAATTGAGATTAATCTGCACCATGTTGATGGTATATAAGTATATCTATATCACATGAGGTATAAAATAAAATAAAATAAAATGTATGTTGATATAATATAAATACATTATAAATATAATATAATACGTAATACATTATAAATGCATGTTAATATAATATAAATAAATTATATAAATTAACTATATATGACAATAGTTTATCCAATACGTAATACTAGTAATCTCAGCAGAAAAAGTATATTAACATACATATTTAAAATATAAGCCGACTTCATATGTTGATTAGAGTTAGAGTTGTTCAACGAGTCGAGCGACCTCGAGTATTGATTGTTCAAGCTCGATTCGAATTTGTTAACGGTACAGATTCGTCTCGTTAAGAATTGAGCCAAATAGCGGCTTTAGCTCGTCTCATTAGCTCAAATTCAAACTCGAGCGACTCGAGTTTGAGCAGTTTGAATTTTATATTTATTTTAATATATAAAATTAAATATGTTTAATTTTATTCATAATTTATTTTAATAAAATATTTAAAATTTATTAATAAATATAAATATAAAAGATTATATATTATATTAATATATAAATAATATAAATATATTATTACTGACAAGCTTAATTGAACTATTCGCAAGCCAATCTTGAACTTGACTCGTTTATATAAAAAATAATTTTTGAGGTTAAGCTCGGATCGTTTATCTTTATAAACAAATCGTGTCGAGCTATTAACCAGTCGGATCGAACTTGGCTCGCGAGCTATTCAGTTCGTTTTACCGCTTTAACTAGAATTAATCAAAACCATAACCAACACTATTAAATGTATAAAAATTTGAAACAAAAAAGTATACATCTATAAACATCAAACATGGTAATAAAAATGATTTTATTTATTTAGGGTGTGTTTGTTTGGAAGTTTAAATTTTGAGTTCAAATTTGAATAGTAAAAATTTTGAACTGCAAAGTTATATGATGTGATATAAATAAGTGTGATGTGATGCTAAAATTAATTTTTAGTATAATACTACATAAAAAAAAAATGAAAAATAAATATTTAATTTTATATTTTTGGAAATAAAAATTTAGTGAATAGTAGAAATCCTACGAAATCTGCCAAACAAACGCACCCTTATATTAGTTCATATGAAATATGTATATAACACACTATGTAGTAACAAATAGCACAATATATTACTTCAGACAACACATTCTTTATATTAATATACTCTCTTCGTCCCGGATATTTTGTCCACTTTACTACATACACGAGAATTTAGGAGGGATACAATTAGTAAATAATTAAAAAATATATTAATTAAAATAATTATCGTATAATAAAAATAATTATAGATTAAAATTAAAATAATTGATTAGTATAATTAAAATTAAAAAATTATAAATCAAACTTTTTAAAATAAGATTAAAGTGTATAATTCTTTTCAGAAAAAAAAAAGGGAAAGTGACAAAATAAGTGAGACAGACGGAAATGAAAAGGTGGACATAAGAAGTGGGACGGAGGGAGTAATACAAATACAACACATAAACTAACAGTACACCATGTAATAACAAACAACACATTTTATTATTTCCGCGGCACACCCCTTATATTAATATAATACAAATACAATGCATAAATTAACATACACAACAATTAATTTTAACACATAACATATTCTTGTACAACGCACATATAATTCTGAACAAACCACTTATACTTCTATTACACACAATATGTGCTGTATATAATAAGAACATGCGCTGTTTCTATATATTATAGATGATTACTGCAAAATTTCAGTTAAAGAATGTGACTGAACATTAATTTTTAAAATTATCCACATGTAATACCAAACTACATTGTATTTATATGCTTAACTATTATCCTCAAATTTGTAGCCCAACATTTTTTCTAATTAGGATTTTTTTTTTTTTTTTTTTTTTTTTTTTTTTTTGTGTGTGTGTGTGTGTGTGGCTGAAATATATCTTCCTTACCCAATTATTTGTCATGCTTAATATGGGAAAAAGAAATAAAACTTAGGGATGTCCCATTAATGGTTATTATTATTATTATTATTATTATTATTATTATTATAAGAAGATTATAAACAGAAACAAACAACTAATACATGAACACAATTTTATAAAATGTGTGGATGTGATTTGTAGCAACAAAAGAATATCTCAGTTTGAGGCCCACCTTATTATTATTATTATTATTATTATTATTATTATTATTATTGCTCCATCCGTCATGCAAATATGTGTGCTCATTTGATCGGATACGAATTTTAATAAAAATATGTAATAATTGTTAATTTTTTTTAATAGTAAAAAAACAGTACAAAAGTGGAATGATTTTTTACTTTAAAAAAAATGAGAATATTTTTCAATGACAATCGAAAAAGAAAGTGAACATAGATTTGAACGACGGAGACAGTATTATTGTTTATCTTCTATTTTAAGTTATTTATTTTATTTTTTAAAATATTAAAAATTTTAGTTTCATTTTAAATTTTTTAATTTTTAATTAAACTAATTAGTTATCTAATTTTAATTTATAATTATTTATATTATAAAAATATAAATAATTAACACGCAATTTTAATTAATACATCATATATTATATTAATTAAAATTATATATGGTCCATTAATGACATTTGTTCTGTCAATCCAATTTTATGTTTTTTTTTTTTTTTTTTTTTTTAATTTTGATTGTTATAAAAAAAAAAATTGTCTTGTTTTTAGTAACAAATACTATTTTAGTAACAAATACTCTTTCGTCTTAACACCCTCAAACATTTTTTTCTTTTTTTTTGCATCAAATATTTTATAATATTTTTAAAATATAAAATAATTAAATATATTTAATCTCTATTCAACACTTTAATTTCCAAATTATTTTATTTAATACTACTTACCTAAATTCTCATGCTGAAAATAAATATTGCACCATATTTGGAATAAATAAAATACTACTTTTTAGTATATTTTTAATTTCTTATAATTTCTTTTTTATTTTTACTATTTTTTAAAATTTGTATTTAGTCAAATCTGACATAAATTTCAATAAGGAAAGGAATAAATTTTACATTGTACCATCACCCTATTATCGCTAAATCTACTTTTTCCGTTACTAATGACATTAAAGATGGAATTAGTAATGGAATTACGTTAGCTACGTGAACTTTAGGGACGAAATTCTGTTACAAATATATTTTTTTTTAGTGTAAAATTCGTGCCCGATCAAATAAACACATATTTGCATGACGGACGGAAGAAGTAATATATATTTAGATTTATGAATAAATCCACCTTACTAATTTAGCAAAGAAAAATAATTCAAATGTTGACTAATTTAAATAGTTTGAATACTCACTCATATTGGAATTTTAGAAATTTATAATAAATTTACTTTTCCAAATCAAGTGGCTAGTGTTACATTATTTGAATACATTTAAATACCCTTACAATTAATCATTTTCCAATCAATATTTATACCATTTATATAATATATATATATATATATATATTAGGGTTATAAAAGAATTATGAATATATGCTTTTAAATTTTTTACTATATAATAATTTTTTTTATAAAATATTACATTCAAATTATTCTTTTAAATAAAAATCAAATCGAATTTTAAATAATAAACTCTTTGGCTTCATCAATTTTATCGAATTATTATCCAAACAAACATACTCGATTAGAAAGCAATTCTTATTGAGTTTGAAATTATTTGAATAATTTTCGAATTGCATTTTTATCGAATTAATATTGAGATGAACTTGCTCAACTAAAAGTTTATTAAAGTATCTCAGGTCAGGTCTATTAGCTCGATTATAAAGTAATTTCTATTCATTTTGAAAATGGCTTGAGTGGTTTTAAAATTGCATTTTTATCAAATTATCGTCGAAACGAGTCTACTCAACAAAAAATATATCAATGCATTTTATCAAATCAATCCTTTTAGCTCGATTAAAAGGTAATTACTATTCAGTTTGAAAGTTATTCAAATACTTTTTTGAATTACGAATTGAAAATTTATTAAAGTATCCTATCAAGCCAAACTTATTAGCTCGATAAAAGGATAATTACTATTTGGTTTGAACATTATTCAAGCACTTTTTTCAAATTATTGTCGAAAATAGTATTTTAATTAAAAATTTATTTAAGTATCTTATTAAACCAAGCCTATTAGCTCGATTAAACGATAATTTCTATTTAATTTGAAAGTTATCTAAGTACTTTTACAAATTATTACCGAAACGAATATCTTATCTGAAATTTTATTAAATCATCTTATCAAGCGAAATCAATTAGCTCGATTAAAAGATAATTCATATTTAGGTTAAAAGTTATTCAAGTACTTTTATGAATTCTTGTTGAGACGACACTTTTTAGTGAAAATATATTAAATTATCTTATCAATCTAAGTCGATTAGCTCGATTAGAAGGTAACTCTATTATTCAAATTAGAAATTGCACTTTTATCGAATTATTATCAAAACAAACATAATTCGTCAAAGTACCTAATCAAACCGTATATATTAGCTCGATTAAAAGATAATTCCTATTCATTATGAAAATTCTTCGATTCGTTTTTCAGTTTCACTCGAGCCAAACTGAGTCGAGCTTTCGAAAAACCCTATCCAAACATGTAAGCTTCCTACAACAAATTTCACTTTCAAATCATTCACCCTATTCATGTCAACAAAATACCATGTAGTTTTCTACCAAATATGTACAACATGAAGAGAGATCTAGAACATAACACAAAATGTTACAAGAACAAGAAAATCGACGATTTCACCATCGGTTTCGGGGCGCCCGTCTCACAATCAAACTCGCCGGAAAATAGACATCCGGCGAGCGTAGTTAAGTTCGAGCAATAATGATCGATAATAAGCAATAGTAAGGACGAGCATTCGAGAAAAGTTTGTGGTCTGACGGTAAAATGGGAAACGACGATGACGATCAGGCAGTTTCTCGGAAGCTAATGGATCGAGACAGCGCGGCGGGATTCGCCTGAAGTAGCGGCGAATTCAAATTCACCGTCGACACCGTGACGATTTGTTTCTTCTCGTTTTCCTTCGGTTGTAGCGCCTTGAAAAGGCCTTCCCGGCTCGATGCGTCGTAATCGAATTTGATTCCGAGGGTGTCCCAAATCGGGCTCTTCGCAGCTTCCTCAGGATCGTCGATCCGCAGAGTTTTCGGAACCACGATCGAGCTTTCTGCGGAAGTTGTCTTTGATTTGATCGGTTCGCCGCTTCTCGAATGCTTTCCGAGCGGAGACCCGGAGCCGGAATCGGAGCTCGACCCCGTCGGATTTGTCGCCGGAGGCAGCATCGACAGCCACGGCACATTCCAAGGATAAGGCGCTGGGTAGTAAATGGCCGGAGCTGAGACTGAGGGGAAATGCCATGGAATTCCGGGGAGACATGGGTCTGACTTCTCGGGGACTTTGCCGTCGATCTTACGGTCGCCGGAGAGCGGCGAGTTGGGGCTGAAGGAGAGGACGGAGGCGGCGGTGGGTTTGAAGCTCAGGTGGTGGAATCCGGTGGGGGAGTCGAGTCGGGTGGCCTGGAGAGATTCGGAGATTGCGATCTGGTGGCAGTGCGACGGCGGCGTGGGATTCTTGGTCTTGCGGCGGCCGGCTCCCACCGGAACGTTGCGCATCGCGCCTCCGGCTGTCCAGTAGCGCTGGCAGCTGCGACAAAAGTGTCGAGGCTGGTTAACGTTGTAGTTGTTGTAGTAGCAGAACTTTGTATCCAAACTGTTGCAGCGCGGGCAGGGTAGGATCTTTTCGGGCTTCTTTAGAGCCTTGTTGTGTCCATTGATGGCCTTGTTTTCGGAATTCGGATGATTTTCCGATGAGTTTCCGATGACGGCTTTGTTGGCGGGAGGTTTTGGATGTTCTTCGGATTCTGATTGAGCATCGCCATGCTTTTCTGCATCTGGTTTGTTCTGAATTGTGAAAAAACAGAGAAGAACATAAACAGAGATCAGTATACTCTGATTTTGAGCTTGAATGACAAAATCGAGCAGAAAAAATTGGAGTATTAGCAGAATTGAGCAAAATTGTAGAAATTTCCAAATGTAAAAATCCAAACAAGCATTTCAAATCGAAGAAAATCAGGAAGTCACAGAAATGTATGAGTATATACGAATCTAGGAGTTCATGTTTAGCGTGAAATGAGATGTGGAGGTAAAGTAGCAAAAATCCAATCGTTTTGAGAATTTGGAGGTTAGGTAGATTCAGTTTGTTCCTAAAGTAGCAAAAAAGAGGTAGCAAATGAACACTGGAATCGACAGTCTGGTTTATGTTACGAAGCTATCATCAATGGAAGATACGAAGCATTATTTGCTTCAATCTAAAACATCATCAATCGAAGAGACGAACCAAATCGCGATGACCTAACAAACGTCAAATCAAAAAGTAGAAAAAAAAAAATACAAAAATCGGATAGCAGCAACTCGATTTCCAAATCAGACCAAGCAATATGGCCAAACACAAAACACTACAAACCCTAGATATAGCCAAATCCAGCAAATGAACACAGATTCAACTCCTCAGCCACAAACAGAACAGAGTTCCAAAATAAACAATTATATCAAAAATCAAATCCAAAACGCCTGTACCTCATCACCGCTCTCTCGATCGTTCTTCTCCGCGCTCACACCGGAACTTTGATCGGAAAACTCCTCGCCGGCGTCGCTCTCCCCCTCAGAACACTCCCCGGCGCCGCCGATTTCCGGCGAAACATTAATCTTCCTCCCGAACAACTTAATCTCCGGCTCCTTCACCATTTCCGCCACGAATCGAATACCGAAAACCGGAAACCAGATAAAGATTTGAAGAAGAACGGATTAGGCTGCGCTGGCAATGGTAACTGCAATGATTTTGATTTCTTTGGAAGGAAGCTCAACGAAACGACGCCGCATGGCGCCATATATATACCCTCCCGGATGCCACGTCAGCACGCCTCCGTTCTTCTGAGCCACAAGTATATTTATATATTAATATTTAATTTATTTCTTTTTTATTTATTTTTGAATACTTCCGTTGGGTGTACCGAACTTCCGTTAATCCGATGACGTGGAGGGATGTGATTGGTCGCGAGTAGCGCGGGGGGTTTTTCAGGATGCAATCGTGGCCGCTCATCATTAGCGTCCGTGTGATTTTTTTGACGGCTGTGATTGATGTGCCTTTTGGACGACACCTTTTCGTTCTTTTTCTTATTTCGGCTTTTTGGACTTTCCTTTTAAAATAAAATAAATAAATATCGACCAATTATTAGACCACTATTTACTTGCAATTTTTAATTTTATTTTTATATTCCTTTTCTATCAAAAGTAACGTTTGTTTTTTCACGTAAATTTTTAAATATTAGTATTTTATTGGATTATAGTAAAAAAGACAAAAATATCTATAAATGTAGTGATGTTTGAGTAATATATCATAAGTTTGAAGGATATTTATTATGTTAGGTTGATAGTACAATGACTAAATTAGAAAATAGTACCTTTGTTTTGGGACGAACAAAAATGGAAAATGAAACCATATATGATGTCAGTGTTACTGTAAATACGAAAATTTAGAAAGAATATAACAAAGTATATATTTCTTTTTTAGTAACTGTACTATCTACCTAATATTACAAATACACTTTCAATTTACAATGTATTACACAAATGTCATTACCTATATATATCATACAATACTAATAATGATATTTTAGTCTTTTTAACTTCATTTCTACTACATATCAATATAATACTAATATTTTTAAAACTTCGTGCAAAAAGTAAATGGATAAATAGATATGGAACAGATAGAATAAATAATTAAAAATCTATTAGTAAAGTTAATTAAAATATAATACAAATAATTATAGATTAATATTAAAATAACTAATTAGTCTAATAAAAATTTAAAAAAAATTATAAATTATAAAATTTTAAAATATGATTAAAAAGTAAAATACCTTTTCAGAAAAAAAAAATGACATAATATATAGGAAATACGAAAATGAAAAGTGTGATATGATATATGAAAGATGGAGTACTTTTTTATTATATTGAAAAAATAATTATATATATATATATATTCTATTTTAAGCATATTATCCAATATTTAATTATATTAATCCTTCCGTCTGATTCACCATGTACATGTTGTCGTTTCTGTCACTTTCCTTTTTTAAAAAATGATTACTCATCTTAATCTTATTTTAAATTTTATAATTTAATTTTTTTTAATTTTAATTAAACTAATTAGTTATTTTAATCTTAATTTATAATAATTTATATTATAGGTTAATTATTTTCACTAATACATTCTTAATTATCTACTAATTATACTTATCCTAAATTTTCGTGTCTACAGTGACCAAGACATCCAATGTGGGACGGAGGTAGTATATTCAAGTATTTTTTATTTTTATTTTTATATGCTTTTCCTATTTCAATTTAATTCAAAATTTCAAAATATTAGTTTAATTGTGTTTTGAAAATATTTCACCATTTTGAATATTTTGTAAAATAGTAATAACTTAAAAGGAAATAAGTCATAAATATAATATCTTAAATGAAAGATGAATGTACATTCTATATTTTTAAAACCTCTTATGAAAATTTATGGAGTATTTATTAATTGACTTTTATCATTTATATATAAATTAAATTTTCTAACAAATAAAATATATTTTGTCTTTTAATGACATACTTTCATAAATAAGTGAATCGTATAATTATATTTCAATACAAACAATATTTGTCGATATATATATATATATATATATATTAGATCTTAATTGATCTATAGTAAATCGATTAAAGTCGATTAACAATTAATTGAAAGTTGACGATCAGTAGATTCGTTAACCATTAAAATTAATTATATTTAATCTTCGAGGTCATGATTGATATTTAGTAAATCGATTAAAGTCGATTAGCTATATCAAGCAGTTATTTTTATTATATTATTTATCTATGTAATTTCAATGTAACATTTAATTTCATAATTCAAAATGTATGAAATCATGGATCTTTTCCTTATATGTGTTAATGTATTTAATTATTTATTTTGTTATTTCTTATAAATAAAATAGTTGGTTTTTTCTAATAATTTTTTTTATTTAAATGTATTTCTTACAAAAAAAAAATCGAAATATTGTATGGTAAAAAAATAAAAACCAAAATCCAAAAAAATACTCCATCCGTCCCACGTACCATGTCCACATTGTTGTTTCTGTGCGTCCCACATATCATGCCACTTTTTTTTTTGAAAAATGATTATACATTTTAATTTCATTTTAAACTTTTTAATTTTATTTTTTTTTAAATTTTAATTAAACTAATTAGTTATCTTAATGTTAATTTATAATTATTTATATTATAAGATAATTATTTTCACTAATACATTTTTAATTATTTACTAGTTACACATTTCCTATAAAATACCGTATCTACAGTGTAGCAGATACGGTATGTGTGACGGAAAATGCTGACGTGGACTTGCAAGATTGTGCAATTTTTTCGAATATAAATATAAGGTTTGATTTCTTTTCACGTCAACATTTTCCATCGATTTGTTGACGGTGGGACCAAAAAAAATAAGATTTAATTATATTGAGACCAAAAATGATGAGTTTTTGGTTATATTGGGACTAAAATTGATAAAAATTTTATACTGAGACAAAAAATATGAGTTTTGGTTATATTGAGAAAAAAAAAAAACGATGAATTTTGATTATATTGATATCAAAGTTAACAAATTTTTTATATTAAGACTAAAATAAAATTGATAATTTTTGTTATATTGAAACTAAAAATAATTTTTTTCCTTCAAATAAATGCTAGACACACTAGGAAGATATTTTCTATTATTTATTTATTTAATTAATTAGGTGGGCAATTGTGATTGGGCCTAATAAATAATTAATTCATAAAGTCCATGTCAATTGTAATAAATAATAAATATTAAAATGTGGACAAAAGTCACCACTTTTTTGGTCGGTTTTCGAACCAATAATAAGACATACGACGTGTCACATTTATTTAAATTTTTATTTAAAACATTTGCAGTATTTAATTGCTTATAATATTTTATTATAAAAGTGTCTATTCAGTAAAAGCTATATATCAAATTAATGCCACGTCACTATTTTTGATACCAAAAGTTGGTTTGGTTAGTCACATTATCTATATATATATATATATATATTTATTTAATTTCTTTTCATGCTTCGCAATAAAATATTAAAATAAAATCATTCGTGCAATAAAACAATTATTTTATTTTTAAAAACATTATTATTTATGATAAAGCAACGACTTGACAACAAAAGTCAACCGTTGGCATCTCATGGTACGTTATTAATTAGATTTAGCTTTAAATTTTTAAATAAAATTTTTAATTAATATTTTTCCTGAGTGGCGGATACGTGGAAATCATAAATATAATAATTTTATTAAAGATATTTATCTTGCAATTTGGAACTTTCTAGATATGTTGACACGTGTCTTAGTTTTTATGTTATTTTTATAAAGTTAAATCTATAAATAAATAAAAGTGGGTAAAAAATACATCCTTTTTTTTTTTTTTTTTCTTTCGGTGTAAAGCCCAACTGTTTTCTATTTAATTTATTTTTTAAAATTCGGGTTAATGGTAATTTTAGTTATAAAATCGACATGTTAATTTATTTTGATATTTTTTTAAGTTATAAATTATTTGGAAATAATTATAGATTTTTTTAATTAAGTGTTCTGTATTGTTGATATAAATGTGGTTTTTTTTTTTTTTTTTTTTTTGTGAAATATAAAAAATTGTGTTAACAATAAAAAAAAAAATTTGTGTTGAATGATTGAATTTTTATGAATAAAAAAAATTTGTATTATGTTAATATGTGTATATTGTATCTTTTAATACTCCATTAATCCAATTTCTATTGTCCTAAAGTATATTTGTATGATTTTTTAGGTGATTGTCTTTTTTGTTATGAATTGACAAATTTGTCATTAATTGTATGGTAGAGATTAAAAGTAATAAATGAACGAAGGTAAAAATGTAAAATTTGTGTTTAAAAAATGAAATAGGACAATAGTTGTTGGACGTCTCAAATAGGAAAGTAGGACATTAGTTTATAGATGGAGGGACTAATATTTATCGGATGCACAAAATGACCGTCACCTGGAAACTCAAACAAATAGGAAAACACATTATTAATTATTTATCCGCAAATAGAAGTCCCCAACAATATTTATGAGAAATCATTCCACTTAAAAACACTAAATGAACAAACTCGATTTTGACAAAAAAAAAAAAAAAAAAGAAAAGAAAAGGAAACAAAGAACAATGCATAGTAACACTATAATCTAATACTCTCTCCGTCTTAATACAATAGTCCTGTTTACCATTTTTGTCCGTCCCAAAATAATAGTCTAATTTTCATAAATAATCGTATCACTATAAAACTACCATTACTTTTTTTTTTATTATTATTACAGAATTGCCACTATTTTTTACACTAATACACTCACACCGTACTTTTTATCCATTACCAATATAATATCAATATTTCTTAAATCTCGTGTCAAATACAACCCAGACTATAGTTTTGGGATGGAGGGAGTACTACTTTTTTTTCAATATAACATCTTAACAAAAAAAAATTCAACAGTTCAACACATGCTGCAAGATAATAAAGTTTATATCAAATTAAAAGTGCACTATGCTAAAATACGTAGCAAATGTAACAAACACAAATTATAAGATTGTAGTTTGTAAATATTACTTCGGCCTCAAAGTTCAACGATAAAACATGCCGGTAAAATACCACCGCAAAGAGAGTACGATCTAATCTCAAACCATCAACATCTGAACTTGTATGGCAACACTAGTAAAACTAGAGTTATGT